TCAAACTATTTCTAAAATTTCAAAAGGAAGGAACCCTCCTGAATTCATTCTATGAAGCTCAAGTTTCAGAACTACTGACCTAGGCAGAACCACACTACTTAAAGTATGATCTGTGAATCAGCAGCATTGAGATCACTGGCAGCTTGTTAGAACTCCAGAATCTCAGGCCCCACCTAGGCTTACTGAATCAGAGTTTGAATTTTAAAAGGTCTCCAGGTATTTGTAAGCACATTCAAGTTTGAGAAGTGCCATACATTTCCAGTAGTTCTTGCTATGGGCTGAATTGTGTCTCCCTAAAATTCATATGTTGAAGTCCCAACCCCCAGGAACCTCAGAATGTTACCATATTTGGAGACAAGGTCTTCACAGAGGCAATCAAGTTAAAATGTAGCCTTTACACTAGGGCATAATTGAAAATAACTGATGTTCTTATAAGTAGATGTGATTAGGACACGGACTGTACAGAATAAAGACAATGAGAAGACAAAGCAAGAAGGTGAACATATGCAAGCCAGGAAGAGGCCTCAAAAAGAACCAATCCAACTGACACCTTGATCTCAGAGTTCTAGCTTCCAAAATTGTGAGAAAATTAATATGTGTTGTTTACATCGCCCAGTCTGTGGTATTCTGAATAGCAACCCTGGCAAATGAATACACTTTGTAAACTCAGGTGCACGTTGGAATCATGCAGGGAGTTTTAAATATATTGATATCTGGGTACAGTTCTCAAGGGCTCCAGTTTAAGTGATCTAAGGATCAGCCTATAATCTGTATTTCAAAAAGCTCAAGAAGTGATTTATTAATATGCCACAAAGTTTGAAATCCACTGATAACCTATTCCATCCTCTTAAAGTTTGAAATCCACTGATAACCTTTTACATCCTCTTAATTGGTGAGAAATATAAGACATAGGGCCCTGCAACTATTAAATTTCAATCTCTTGATACCTATTTGATCTCCACACATTAAGTCCTAAAACCTAGCTCATTCTAAAAATATTTGAGGACTCTTTACTGAAAAAGAGAGTCAAATATCAAAGCTAGCAATAATTAATAAATGCACTCTCTTCATGAATCACCTTTTAGGTGTGTGTGTGTGTGTCTGTGTGTGTGTGCATGCGCATTACCCTTGAGGCTCCTAGGAACCCTCTGACACACTGATATATATTCAATATAATGGAAACCATATTAAATTACACATATGTGTGCATATATTAATCTATTGAGTTGTTTGGGAAGTCATGATATAGAAAAATATGTCATAACTTTCTCGACAACCTGTGTGTGTGTGTGTGTGTATACATATGCATGCTAGCTGCAGTTAGCATGCTAAGAAGCTAACACACTCTACAAAAGTAATTTTCTTGGACCCTTAAAATACCATACACTGGGACCAGCAGGTGGCGTGTTGGTTAAGGCACTGGACTCTCACGTGGCCGGCTGCTGTCTGAGTCCCAGAACTGGCAGCTTGAAAATCATGCCAAGTATGTGTGTATATGTGTGTGTGTGTGTGTGTGTGTGTGCCCAAAATCTCAGGAGAATGGAGGAAAAGGGATTGTAGCATGGCCATCTCCCCTTGGGGAACTGTGATTTCTTGATTTCCCTCTCACCATCTCTCTCTCTCTCCGGTCAGCATGCATACCTTATGGCAAAAACCTAAAAAAAAAAAAAAAAAAGAAAGAAAAATACAATACACCAAATGGGGTTAAACTATATTCTAAATGTGCTTTTGCTACATTTATTAACATTTTACTTAGCCCAATCATTGATATGCAGGTTCAAATCAATCACAGGTGCAAACAGACCTATTTCCAAGACAGTCTAGCAGACTTTCTGGTTGCCTCCTATTTTAGTCCGTTTTTCTGTTGGTATTATTGAATACCACAGATGATGTAATTTATAAAGAGTAAAGGTTTCTTCAGCTCATCATCCTGAAGGTCCAAGGTTGAGGAGCTGCATCCAGTGAGGGCCTTCTTGCTGACGGGAACTCTCTGCAGAGTCCCAAGTTGGTGCCAAGCATCATGTGGTGACAAAGCCATCATGTGTCAGCTCTGGTCTCTCTCCCTCTTCTTATAAAGTCACTAGTATTCACTCTTGAGGGCCCCACCCTGATGACTTTATCTAATCCTAATTGCTTTCCAAAGGCTCCCCCTCTAAATGCTACAGTTAGATTAAGTTTTCATCCTCTTAATACCATCTCAATAGCAAACAAATTTCAACACATGAATGTATGTATGTGGATGTGAGGGGGACACATTCAAACCAGAGCAGCTCCACAAAGCCATCCTCAACCTCCCTCTCCCTAGCTGTCTCTCTACTCTGGAAGCTGAAAAGCCTGATACTTTGCCAGCTTCCCTTGCCAGTAAAGACAGCTTTATGCCCCAAATCTAGCCAAAGAAATACAAGGAAATTTTTAGGGAACTTTGGGGAAGATACTTCTTCTCATAAGAGAAAATTGCACAAGGGAACATGTTCAGTTCATTTTCTCCCACTATTTCCTGTCTTTGAACATAGGGTAAGGAGGTGATGGCAAGAGCTGTTAGAGCCATCTTGAAACCACGAGAATAAGGGCACTGAGCCAGAACCCTGACATTAATGGGCCACTGAACCAACTCCAGCCATCACCTGCTTCCTGAATTCTGTATTTGCTCAAGTGTCTTTTAGTTGTCTTTTCTGTTACTTTCCATAAAGACAAAAAAAGTTAAAATTCACAATTGTTGGGTTGTTGGAAAAATCATGATGCATTTTTACATAGAAAAACATCTCAATAGCAAACAAATTTCAACACATGAATGTATGTATGTGGATGTGAGGGGGACACATTCAAACCAGAGCAGCTCCACAAAGCCATCCTCAACCTCCCTCTCCCTAGCTGTCTCTCTACTCTGGAAGCTGAAAAGCCTGATACTTTGCCAGCTTCCCTTGCCAGTAAAGACAGCTTTATGCCCCAAATCTAGCCAAAGAAATACAAGGAAATTTTTAGGGAACTTTGGGGAAGATACTTCTTCTCATAAGAGAAAATTGCACAAGGGAACATGTTCAGTTCATTTTCTCCCACTATTTCCTGTCTTTGAACATAGGGTAAGGAGGTGATGGCAAGAGCTGTTAGAGCCATCTTGAAACCACGAGAATAAGGGCACTGAGCCAGAACCCTGACATTAATGGGCCACTGAACCAACTCCAGCCATCACCTGCTACCTGAATTCTCTATTTGCTCAAGTGTCTTTTAGTTGTCTTTTCTGTTACTTTCCATAAAGACAAAAAAAGTTAAAATTCACAATTGTTGGGTTGTTGGAAAAATCATGATGCATTTTTACATAGAAAAAATACATCATGACTTTCCTGACAGCCCAATAATATATTAACGATTTTCATATATGGAAAACTCTCATTTATTTAGAATACAGTGTAGTCTGAGGATCCACACTTTACCATCAAATTAAAAGGATTAGTATTTAAGAGGTGAAGAGAAAGCATGCCCAAGTACTGTTCAAGGAATATATTCATTCATAGTCTTCCAGCACACCTCTCCCTTTCTAGGCTCTAGGGGTATAAAGATGAATTCAGCATTAATCCTGCCTTCAAATTACTACCTTGAACAGTGAGGCTGGTATGTGAACTGAGTCGCAAGAGCTAAGATTGATGTGTGCAGAGAAGAGGGGCTATTATCAGAGAGTTGGGAAGCCTAACTCAGCTTGGAGGACTCTAGGGAGGGCATTGAAAAGGATCATCACAGATTCCGCTCTAAAAATTATCCATGTGATCTGACTTAACCTCTAAGGTGTTAGCAATTTTCTTCGGGGGAGAGGGTGTAATTTTCTATAATAGCTGATTGCAAAACCAAATGACAATTCAGGAAAGAGTCATTTATGATTGGGGACTAATCAACAGTCAGAAGGGATTCCCCACCCATCTTTCTCTCTTCCAAAGCAGGATAAAGACATGATTTGGGGTGAAGGGGGAATTCTTTCCTCCCATGTTAGCAGGAATATTTTCTAGAACAGAATAATTGTGTTGTGAATTAAGACCACCTATTAACATTGCATCAAGCCAAATAATATTGATAAGACTGTTGTTAACCAAACTCACAAATTCACCCATTCCAGAAGGCTCTCTCCTCTGCTACTTTTAAGGGAAAAAATGACAATAATTAGTACCTATTTAATAATCACAGAAACACTTTGTGCTTAATTGGAAAGAACGGAGGAAACATCCCAGCACCACCACCATCCACACTGCTTTTTGTAAAAGCAGTTAGTGAAAGCAACCCCCCCCAACACACAGCAATAGAGGAAAAACTAACATGTAGCTTTGTGTTAAGTCCTTACATGAAACCGAATAGGTCCTCATTGATTTTCTTGCAAAGGAAATAATAGGTTTTGAAGCACCTTTGAAAATAAGACCAGCAGTAGTCTCCTAACATTTTTCTGGAATACAATACATTAAAAAATAAGATATTCAATAGAGTCCTTCAATAAACTGTTTCAACATTATGGTGGCATTCACATTAATTGTGCCTCCAGAACACTTTGATTCAGTCAGTGGTGACGAGATAGCCATGCAATAACTGCAGTTATCTTACAGCTCTAACATGTCCTGAGTTGGGGAGGGTTGTTCTAAGATCTCAACTCAGGCTACAGTAAAACATCTGTCACCTTGCCGAGAAAGACGAAAGCACCCTGGCAAAGGATCCCAGCTCAGCCCTCTAACTCTTCTGTGCCCATCTCTAAGAATTGGTCAGGATGAAAGTAGGGGGAAGAGAGAGACACATGAAACAAAGAAACAATTCCTCCCCCCCCCCCATTGGCTTGTCTGAGTCTGAACATGGATTTGATATTCTTTGTTGCGTCTATAAAATCTAACTTTCCTCTCTCAATCTCCAGTTGAGAGAACCAGAGGGAGGAAAGCAAAGGCAGACAGACAGACACAAACTGGAAGACACCTCCCGCCCCTGCGCCCCAGTCAGCCCAAGCAGGAGGCACGAAAAGACGAGAAACTTACCTGGCCCTCACCTAGACTGAGAGGTGGCAGGTCCAGCCTCAAGACCGGTTCAGCCTGCAGCGGTGAGTCGCTGAAGCTGGAGCTGAAATGCAGACCCCGGGCGGGAGACGAAGTCCGGCTCCTAACCCAGGGGACCGAGTGACTCACGCGCTTGGCGCCAGCTTCTCGGCGCCGCGCGCCCCTCTCCCTCCCCGCCCCCAGCCA